GGGGGGGGGGGGTGGTTACCCTACCTGCTGTTGTTCCCTACGCAACCCCGAAATCGCCAATAAAAACTACAATTTAAGAACTTATTTCGACATGAATTTTGACAATAGCAAGAGAAAAGTATTAAAATTACAGTTCAGAAGTTTCTTTGTTGTTGTTGAAAATTCAAGAGCCGTTAAGCTTCTCGTTAAACCTTTCCATATATCAACTGATGAAGTGTTCGCAAAATCGAGCGTCCAAATTAAAAATACAGTACGTGGTCAAAAGTTTACTCAGCAGGCGACTCAAAAATAAGAGATAGCTCGCCCTTTTTAATTTGAATATATTTTTTTTTACGTAGAAACTATCGACTGATATGAATTCGGTTGAAAGTGCGAGAAAATAGCACTGAAATGGTCAAAAATAAAGAAGTGAGCCTTTTCCTGGAAAATATAAATAAAAGGTGGAGTTAAGGTCAAAAATGTTAAACTGTGTAACGTTCTTAATGTAAATAAGGCTTAGTTCCTTTAAGGAAACTTAAATTAAACATATTTGTATGATAAGAAGTGTTATTGTGGAGCCGAACCAAAATGAGACACCTGTCTTGCAACGAATTCTTATCAGGAGAAGTTATCTATTGATCATAAGTTGAAATGACCAGGAAAAATCATAACAATAGAAAAACCATAGGATTACAAGTTCAAATTAGTTAATTAAAATCACTAAACTGATATTACAGTTAACAAGTGTCACTGCATTCGACAAAGACGACTAACGTAACTCTTAAAACCGTCATTTCTCTTGGCGAGAAAACAACAACGGCTTAACAAGAATAAAACTAACTTCTCCTGTCAGGAGAGAATAACGATCGATCAGCATCATTGCGGGGGAGTTGAATACCGAGGAAAAGAGCCAAATTGATTTTATAATATTTTTCCTGATCACATACAGTATATTTTTAAACGTAGCAATCTGTAATAAATCCTAAGCACCGAATAAAATTCTCTTAACAATTTTCATTCAAAATAAATGCGTTGTGAATGTACTTTGTCACTGACAATTTTTATCATTTTACATACATCACTAACACGTTATTTGCATTCACTCTTTCAGTTTGTTTTTAACCTTGGACTATTTACCCATTACTCACTCTAGAAACATTGAAACGACCGGCCTTTTTCAGAATTATTAATATGTATTTGGAGGACCTGGACAATTTCCCCTGCAGTATTTTATCTATAATTTCAGTTTAAAAGTCAGCTTAAATGGAACATTTCCCAGTTCAAGTAGTTAATGACACTTTCACTGAAAACAGATGTCAAGTAAGTCGTCAGTTGCGCTTATTATGAAGTATTTTTGCAATCGTCTATTGACAACGCCATTTGTATATATTATTTATTATCACTCCCACAAAATAGCAAAGAAAATAGTTAATAAAACGGTTTTTACTAACGAGGCTTGCTTAACAGTCTAACAACCTGTGTCCCTCTGGTGACGGGTCGATCAGGAGCTTAAAAATCATGAAGGTCCTCTGGAGAGGCAAAAACACCAATCCGAATCTTGAACAACTTGTGGGTTAAATGTTATTTAGATGAGCCCTAAAGGATGTGGATGTACGAATCATTCCTGCCAATAAGATACATTTACCTCCCCCCCCCCCCCCCCCCCA